AAAGTGGAAATGAAAGCAGACAGCAGAACATTGTTAGAGATCAGGAAAGGATGTGAAAGGAGACAATTTTAGAGAAGAAAATTTTTTGGTCGCTACACGGAATCGAACCCAGGACCTTTGAATGATAGGCCAACACCTTAACCTCTAGGCCACGAGAGCCCCCGGGCATTGCATACAGCGGGACTTATGGAAAAATAATAGCCGAGGCGTTAGCTCTGCTGGTATGGAGCCTGGTCGGCTGCTGTCCTGGTTCGAATCCCGAACTGGGCTTTCTTGTGATTGAAAATTTTGGTGCTGTACGCTCCCATCGACACTTTGAATCATTGCAGAGGCGGGCTGCTTTATCCTTTCTTGTTTGGACCACACCCCTGATCTTATGGTAGGTAAGATCTACGCCTAGCCTTCTGGGATAAGGGCGAAACATCTCGGAAGTCCCGTATGCATGTTGCGCACGTCAAAGATATTTTGGTGGTCCAAAATTGATAAGAGCAGGTTTCAGTTGCCACCCGGGCAAAACTCAAAATGTCCTACCAACTGGAAATATTTAATGTGTTCCGCGCATTTATATGACCTTATGCAGCTACGAGTGCCGTAAAGCACTTACCAAAAATAGGGGGAGCCAGCCAGGGCTTAGACGGATATAATGTCCCATCAGGCAGACAAAGTCACTCGGTTTTAAATCATCCGCACATGGCCGGGAATTGAACTCACGTCTTCTGTGTGCGACGGGGAAGCCTAACTGCTACACCACAGACGCCGGTGGAATAAACGTGAGCCATCCAACCTCTGGTTTGGTCGGTTTTGAAACAGACGTAAAAAATTGACCGAGTATGTGTTTAGTTAATCCTCAAAAGCACTTGACGTGCGATATTGGTGTAGCTGTTTGGTGCTTTACCTCGCAGATGATGTTCGTTCAATTCTTGTGTGGGGAAATTTTTTAACGAGTATATGTCTGTCTCCACAAACGTTGTATCCATCTCAACCCGGATTGGCTCTTACAATCATGGTCGACGCAGCCA